ACAGACCTGAACTTTGTTGGCAGAAGTAGGATACTCTCATTCTACTCATTCTTGACTTTCTCCTCTCTTTCCTATTTCTTTCAGTTAAGGTACCGGGATATGGAGAATGTGACTTAGTTTGCCTGAAGCGCAAGCACATTTTACTTTACCGCTACAAACTAACACAGGGTATGGATCCAGATAGTCAAGGATTATAGAATTGAAATGACTAACCTCGTTCATTAAACTTGACTTATTTTGCTAAAATGCATATCGAGTTTATTAGATGGTTAAGTTATGACTTGATTGACTAAAAAATGCACTATTTTTTTCTCTATCTCATATCTTACAGTTATTGAGTTAAATATCTGTATACGATCTGTAAGTGGACCATTTTTATCAGTCCAATCGTAGATACTAATTACAATTCTTCTCGACATATATTCAAGAATAACCGCCTTTTGGTATTTCTATTAATTATTATCTACATAAAATCCAAAGTAGTTAAACTTTCTTGTAGAAAACCAGTCCGAAACAAGACAAGACAAGAAGTAATTCATCATTAAATTAGAGAATTAGAATTTTTTTCTAATTTAACGCGAAAGAGAATACGGTATGCGTGATATTTTCATAACTGAATATAGCTACATTATTACAAATCGTTCTGGTTATATTATCAAAACCTCGAATATTGCATTAGGCAGAGTAGAGTGTATAGTGCTCTGTATTACAGAGCACTACACAATCGTATTAGGTGATGAGAGGCTACTTATTTGTTGATCGATTGGATATGGGAGGTGCTATGGTAAGCATAGTTCCTGGTCTCCTATTCGTGTTTTTTTTTTCCCACAGTTTTTAATACCATGTCTTTCATTCTACCTATACACCTTTGGGTTCCAGATAATTGTTTAGACATTCATGCCTCCATTCTTATGAGGCTGAGAGATTCACGGACTCATCCACAGTATCGGTCTACGTACGTATTTAAGGGATGAAATTTCAATCCAGCGCTGCAGCCAACGAGGAACTTTTCCTTTGATGGCGAACTGTTCTGGAGACAATTTGGAAGTCCAAGAACCTGATCGGAATTGGATCTGAAAGGCCTCCGCCAGTCCAGATTCGGATCTTAGGTGAGAGCGAGGCATGTGTGAGATCATGGCACCGAAGAAACACCGACCGGAAGCTATCAGAAAAAGGCTGAAGATCAGAGCCAGATTGACGTGCGTAGTCAGCCAGCTTTGATGAGGCTGATAGTGACGTTATCCTGAACCTTAAATTATACCATTTTGGATAGCCAGAATTGCAGGAGTAGAAAAGAAATCGACAAGGGGAAGGTCGTGTGAGGTATCCACTGAATTAAGAAGGAAAAACCAGAGGATCTGCCAAATGAATGAATATAGTTTTCTTACAAATATGTTTTGATAATGTTTTTAATGTGTACATTAAAAACATTATCAACAAGAACATCTCGCTCGGTAAGTTCCCATCAGTATTGAGCTTTTTCTCTTCATTTAATTAACTCCATGACTACGGTAAAGTTTATATTTCTCACTACCATCCGCGACTTCTTTACTTAACGTTCTCCGGTACAACAGAATATGAAAGTTGGAGAGCTCAATGGCCGAGAGAAAAACACAAGAGTGTGCAATCAGAAAAGTGCTGCGTGTTCTCACCTAGAGAACTTAAGAGAAAGCCTCACGTGCTCGGATCCACAGGAGTCTTTGGAGAGTACAGGTCCGAGAAATGTAGAATGGTCAGATGCGATGTCCTGCAGGGCCTCAAAGTATGCTGCTCCGATATTCCCCAATCATACGCTCTACTCTGATAGCATCGGGCCATGGCAAACGATTCTTGCGATGTTCTCATGAGCGTGGGCATGTCATGTATCAGAAGCAGCATAATTGTCTCGAGCCCAGTATTAGCCTTCGCTTGGAGCATACGAAATTGAGCATGATGGAGGAGAACAATGAATTTTTTGTAGTTATCATACTGAATACTCTTGAATCCTCTTGATAGCTTTTCATAGCATTACAGATCATTGCACATTTGCATCGTTGAGTTATGTGAATAGTTTCTGTTCATGTGGTCTATATCTAAAGTACCTTAGGCTACAGATAAGCTCTAGTAAGTTTTTGTTCATATAAGGAAAGCTACAATTTTAATTCTTACCTTGTAGAATGACCTCTAAATTCCTGTAACTTACAAAAATTCTTGAAAATAGAAATTAGTTAAGGATAACTCCATTCTTGTTAGTCAGATTAGCTATTTAGTAGCCTAGTGGTCATATATACATACCAAAGCCCTCTGTGGAGTCAATCTATAACTCTCACCATCAAAGCTCTTTTTTAGTTTGGGTTTTTGTGAGTCGCTTGCTTCTACCCGTGAATATAGTCTATACCCACATACATTTGGTGTTCCTCTTAGGTGATGGATGTGTATTCAAAAGTAAATACTCATCACCGATATCAAATTCATTTTAGATAATCTACATGATGACCTTATAAGCGTGTAAAACAATCTTCATGGAGGGTTTGACATGGGTTTACACTCCACGTGAGAGAACGCCATATGTCTTGAGCGAAATCTAGATGCCATATCATTCAGACATGACAGACGCTGATGCTATTGACAGCAAATTGTCACTCGTGTAAAACTACCGCAAAAGTGATCGGTTCCTACCAATGCACTTCTTAACGCTCATGGTTGCGCTGAAGTAATCTATTCCCAAGCCAGTAATAATCGAGTCTGAGGTTGTTGCTGAAGATTTCGGAACCAAATGAACGGCACAATTGGCGTCGTCAAATCAACAAGTGTTTCGAAGTTTCTGCATGCAAGGGTTGCGAACATTGAGATTACGCGAAAAGCTTCATGGGGTGAACACTTTGAAGTGAAGCTCGATCGTGCCTGACCTATTGCTCACTATTTATTCTGTATACATCGACTCAGTCACGAATTCCTAGAGGTGGCGTGGAAGGTTTACGTGAATATACTTGTCGTGATGTTGTTTCGACGCAAACGACAAGAATCGGCCTAATAAAGCAAGCTTCAACTTTACATAGAGGCAAATATTTATGGAGTCAATGGTTAGAAGGAGGGGATGTTTCATGAGTCGTTTGTGGATGACCCTACTACATGTCCTGGAATGATGATTTCAGCAATAATGTGTTACACTTTATGACAACGGCCAGCTTGAAGATTGGCATTTACTTACGTCTATTAACTTGTTATTCTCTAAAAGTCGAGATTAGTAATAATAATGGGAACAAAATGGCAACGCCCACATAAGTATTGAACCAATGGGAGACAGTAAGCGAGCAGTTCCCTATCAGAGCATCTAAGTGTCATAGCTATGTTTAATATTAACATATATAATGTTTAGGTTTTGAAATAACATCATCTTTTTGAATAAAACATGTGATAACATAATGTATATTCTGATTTTCATAATAAATCCTAAAGCTTCAAATGCTCTTTGTAAAACTATGGATATGAGTTTAGATGTTACAAAATCTAAAATACGTTACACTATATGAAAAAGCAAAAGATACATATAAGTTCATATGACTGATGGTAAAGAAGTCTAAGACTCCATTCACAATTTTAAATTCGATGATAAACTATATGAGTAACGTATATAAACGTGATTAAATTAAATAGTAATACAAGCTCTTCCTTTTGTGTTTGTTTATGAGTTACGTTTCTTTCCTCATTTGATCAACATATATTTGAATCGATTTATATGTATATATCTGAAGTTTCATAAGACATAAACACTTACAAATTCATCATATGTATAATCTTGTTATATTAAAAGTATGTGAGTTATACTCATTTGAAGACTTAAAAAATTTTGATCGTTTAAATGTAAAAAAACAAATTCATGTTTATGATGTAGATAAAATTTATTTACTTGATCTGAAAAAAGTAGATCACATTTTTTCATACAACCAAATTTTATTTGAAGTCAGCTGTTTTGTTTTGTTTGGTCAAATGAAGCTCTTTTGATTTTTTACTATCATCAAACCTAAAGTTTCATATCATATTTTGTGTAAATGGAAAGGTTTCGATTAATACCTCTTCTCCGAACCAACTAGAAGAATTGGCGAGCACAAATTTCTGAACTAGTATGTTTTAATAAAGTGAAAACTACATCAATTCCTACATATTAAGGTTGTTTCAACTTCCTATAGACACTACTCATCAACCACATCACAACAGATTACATCACTAACTGTGGGTAAAAAAGATCAGAAAAGTTAATGAAAGTAGTGCGAGCTGGTTCGTTCATTTCACAACCCTTGCAGTTGAGAAAAGAGTGATGACACTAAGAAATAATGACATCAAAAATGTATACACTTCAGTCACTAGCGATTGATTTATTGCAAGATGCATAAACCATGAACACCAAAACACGTCATCCACATGGACTTAGAAGATAAAACTTTCAGTTCCAGATTCAGTTGTTGCTCGCTTTGAGCTTAGACTTAGAACGAAGCGTTGGTACTCAGAACGACAGTTACGGAACACGCCAGCAATCGAAGACCACGATAGCAACAGACGATATCGCCAGCCGCAACTTTTACAAATATGGAAATAACGTCGCGGACATGTGCTGACCGCCGTTCGCGATCTATCATGAGCCGATGTCGGTAGCTCACGTCGTCCACTTTCGCGTCTTCAGCAGGACCACCGGCGGCCGTTTCTCGGCAGCCGGCCGCCGGGAAATCTCGCCGTCTCGTGAACTCCCGGCCGGGAAATCGTGCCATGCGCAGCCGCCTCGCAGAGAGTGGGATCCGTGGCTGATCTTACGAGGTGAATGTTGGAGCAATTGCCGTGGCTGCTCACGTCGACGTGATGCCGCAAGGCTTGCAGTGGGATTGGGGAATTTGGTTGGAGCCTTGGGCTGCAGTTCTGGTGCCGGGACTGGAGTATCTGGAGCTGTCTGTCTGTCTATCGATGCGAGCATCGTCGCTGTCAGGATGGGGGAGGGAGGGAGGGAGGGAGGGAGGGAGGTGGTGGGGCCGAAGATGGACTGTGACTCGTTTGTTGGTTTGCGCCTCGGGTCGAAGAGATTGCGGTCGAGACGGCTTTGGAGGCACCACGATCGTTGGCACACCTCGCCCGCGCGGTCCCACCGATGCACAAACGGTGGCGGGCGCGAAATTCTCCGACTGCGAGTGGTCGTTTGACGAGGACATGGTCTGGATTAGCTAGCCGGGCCTTTGATGGCATGGTGACTGCGTCTGTTGGAGGTCCCGGAGGAGAAGCGGAGTTTCGGAAGGCCCCTCCATCTGGCCCTTGCTCGGTTGCTTCACGTCACGCGGATCGAAGCTCGACTGCAGATGGTCCCCACCGGGACTGCATTGGTCGCGGCCTGCTAGAGCCTCGTCTAGAATATCCTCATGGAACGAAGTCCGAGGACTGCCGGTTCATCAGAAGCGAGAAGGCAAATCTGAGCGCAAGAGTTTTTCGTTGGTAGTGGGTAGTGGGTAGTTTTCAGCACTGCGGGTGCCATCAGCTGATTATGCTCCTGTCACCGTGACGTCGTCAGAACCAGTTTGGTTGATTGATTCACTGATTGATTGATTGATTGATTGAAGGTGAGTCGACTCTCAGATCAGCTTACACGCAATTCCTAGGAGTCCTCAACATTCGTGACCCAGATTCGTTCAAGAAGTACAAAGCTCGGCCACTGGTCATGAACGTGTTTTCCCTTGTGGCAGGAAGGATTGATTGGCTCATGGCGGTCCCGATGAAGGGAGCTTCTGTGCTGTGCTTTTCCCTTCTGCTCACGGCGCATATGGCGTTTGCTCAATACAATGCCTCCGAGGCTCTAACCCCTCCTCTTGGAAACAGGTGTGCTGGTGTTCCCTAGAGGCCTTCAATCGTGCGCTCGCACATTGCTCGATTGCATTGCATCTTTCATGATGAATTTAATATTTCTAGAACGGCCCTCGCCATCTCATTCACCACGGCGCCTGCCCCAAGCTCTGATATCGTAGTGGCCTTGGGTCAATGGATGGTGGACGCTGATGAGTGTTCGATGCTGTGAGCTCTGTCTTCTGGATGTGGATTTGGATTTAGATTTGTAGTGTAAGTATTGTGCGTCTTCTGGAGGACGAAGGGAGCTGCAGCCCCATCCCATCGTGATTAGTATGAAGTATCTCGAGATGCTGCAAACGTCGTTGCGGCTCGCTTTGTTGACGCACACCTCTCGCACTTGCATTGCAGCCCGAATGTGGTGGTCTACACGCGCGATGGCTACCAGCTCTACTCTTGTCTCAAGGGTACGTGGAGCCTCAAGGGATCGTACGCGATGTTGATGTACGAGGACTCCAAAGCTGAAGCCGGCAATGTTACATCTCGATTCGATGGAAATGGCGAATTGTTCACCTGGACCCTCCTGAACAGCCTCGGAGACGCGGCGGAGTCCGGATTTTCTGCCAGCATGGTTTCAGGTAACATTTCGAGTCGAGAGCACGAGACTCGTTTCTTCCAGTAGGGAAATCATGTTATTGAGGATTCTGTTTCGGATTGTAGATTGTCGAGACAAGAAGCCGGGAGCCGCTGATTCTGCAGGCTCGGCTTGAACGCATCACAGACCTCAGGCTTGATGCCTTTTGTAGCCTGTGGAGATTTCCTCTACGGTGTCAATCATGGATTTTCCTAGACGCATTGTCATTGTCGAGATGAGTGGAGCAAAAAGCTCGCCGCATTCCGTTTCATCGTTGGAAGCTCGGCTGCAGGAAGGCCATTGGCATGGGACTATTCGAACAGGAACAGCCTGGCCATGCAATTGGTGGAATCCACATCGCACCAGAACCACGGAGCCGCAGCCACCGTGTCCTACATTCAGCGATACAGCACGTCCGGTGGATCACCCCCGCCTGCCAAATCATGCATGGTGGATAACAGCGTGGTGAAAGTTCCTTACTCGGCCAAGTACTGCCTCTGGACTCAAGATACTAGACCAGCCTCGGTGCCTCGCAGTCTCGCTGTGCCAAATGGACGCGTGGTCGAGGGATTCTTCGCCAAAGGTCATGTCACGTTCAAGCACAATGGCAGGTACAGGAGTCGAGCCTGAATGTGAAAATGAAAGTGGAATGTAGCAAAGTGCAATTTGTGTTTCCACAGATATGGTCAACCTTGGGGAAATGACAGGCTTCGGATATGTGTGCAGTGCGTGGGAGGAGGTTGCGAAGTACGCAAAGCTGTACAACATTCCCGGGACAGACGCCATCGGAGAGTATTACGTGTACGGTGATGAGGATTGCTGGAACATATACAACCCGAACGGATGGATGGTGTACGCCAAGCGGGCCAGCAAACCAGTGGAGGTCGTGCGCAACTGCATGCCATGGACTTTGCTCTCCGTGACAAACGAGAAGGGCGTCCCGTGAGTTTCTCATCCCTTAATGTTCTTGCATCCTCGGCTTTCCATCTCTCTCTCTGTCAGTCGGGTCCAAGCGTGCAACAAGCCATCTACATTTTCTCAGTAGCATTTGGTGCATTGGTGCAAGGCACACGAAATGTGTTTTCGAGGAGGTTTCTGCCCATTTCATAGTCGCCTGCTAACAGCCACTTTCGTGCAGCGTGATGCTGGGCCCCTTCAATTTTGTGCAGACCACATCCACGAGAGGGGGCATCCCCCCAACGACCAAAGCTTCTAAGGGCGCAATGGCGTATTCGGCATACTCCGCAATATATTGGTTCTACACAGAGTAGGCATCTGAATCGGTATCTGAGATTCAGCTCATGAGCACTTTAGAAGCCCATTACCATCTCTTCCCGGGCCGAAACTAATCTCGACCCTCGAACATGCCGAGAGTCCCCAGCATCGCCAGAATTCCTAGACGGCTACGAAGTCAGAAGCGGAGAGTCAGGAGCTTGTTTGAGATGTCCTCCGGCTCGCCCTGTGATTGTACTGGCTGCCATGAGATTGTCACTTCAGGGCAAATGCTCAGAAGAAAACGTTGCTCGGAGTTCGATGTCCGAGGCAGAGATGATGGATGGAGGTTCGTAGACACGTCCCTCGGAGAGTCATGGCCCAGAATTGGGAACTGTAAATATATTCCCTTCACTGAAAGTATGAATAATAAATCCTCCCGTGAAAGAATTTTAGCCCTGATTCTGGGCTCGTACTCGATGATTTTGGAAGAGCGTGCTAGGTGGTGCTTTTCCTTCATTCGTAGGACAGCTGAAGGTCTTCATCGCCATCACCTGAATCCTCCATACCGCCCTCACAAACGAGGCGGACCGCACTTCGAGATAACGACTCCTTCTCAATCATTGGGCCCACAGCTTGCCATCATGTCGCGGCGTACATAACCTCTTTCGATCGTGCCACCTTCCTCTTATCCGAGTACCACCGTCGTACGTCGTCTCCAGCACATGAGGATGTCTCGTGGGCTCGATGCCTAAGACTGCGTGCGTGTTGTCACCAGGCGTCGCCGCCACACTCCTCGAGCAGAGAGAGGGGTGCGAGGACAATGCTCGAGGCACCAGCTCCAGGAATTGGCTTCCTCCCAAATACACCAAAGGAGAATCTTCGATCTTCGCTCTTCACTGGCTTCACGTACCCAGGGCGGTAGGATAAAATCCGATTTTGTAGTATTTCGAGAAGATGGCCTCCGGTAGAACCGAGTCTATGAGAGTGACGAAAAGGACGGACAGAAAGTCAGTGAATGGGTCCGAGGTCGTTGTTATTGTGTAACGAGCTATGGGAGAGGCTCTTGAGCTCAACTTCAACTTGTGTTCGAGCTGCATCCAGCAGAAGTCCATGGGCCAAAGGCATCAGTCCTTTGATTCTAGCCTTGGCTGGCCTCTTGTCGATGAAGGCTTCATGCACGACGTACTGGTGTACCGAGTGTCCTGAGGAAGTAGCACTAGGGTGATCATTATTCTTTCCCGTGGAAGAGAATGGGTTTTTAATATTCACTGAGCGTCCTAAGAGTGGAGAATGAAAGCAAGAGTGCATTCTCTTGAGGTCAACTTGCAAATGTGCCGAGTGAGTGCCCTACGAATCATCCGTGGAAATACTTGGAGCCGAGAGAAACGAGTGAATCGTTCCACAAACACCGCGGGGGTTTGTACGAACCTAAGCTCCGACACGATAGAAGATTGTTCGAATTCGTTCTTTTATGAGTTTTGACTATTTTTCCTGATTTTTCGTGCTACACTTGAATCTTAGAGCTTCTAAACACCTGCCGTGCGACCGGATCTGATTTCCTCTCCCAAATGTGCCCGGCGCGAGGTTCGAACACAGGATTGCGTCGCAGAAATTTCCCACCCTTCGCGTTCCACCGTGATTTCCATAACCATGCCGAGCAACCACGTTGCATCGCCGTCAAACATCACTGAGCGTTGATTAAAAAATTTTCTGTATCAATCTAAATAATATTTGTATACATTGGTACTTTATAAATCGATGGAATGAACTTTAAATAAATCCAAAACCTCGTGCACATTCCGAGGGAACGATGAAGTACAGTTCTTTTGCGTTTAACCAGTAGTGAGCAGGCCTCTCTATATAGGGGAGGATTCAACATGTTAGGTATCTCAACAAAATAAGCATAATTCTCGAAACAAATAACGGAATATTATGGCAATGTAATACAACTTCCGGAAAGAGAGATGTGTGTTGTTTTTTATATAAGAATATTTTCTTCCTATTTGAGCACCAGAAATCAATTTCCATCTTTGCCATGGAAATCTTTCCTCATACCTGGAATATTCCAAGCTTCACTACAATCAATGCAAAAAATATATTTGATGCATTTTGAAATCCATGTTCTCGGTTCCAAAAGCTATTTGTGTTCTTATACTATTTTATCTATATACTTTTGTTTCCAAGAAAGTTTCAAATGATCTTGATATTTTAAAATTAATTAAACAATTTCTTGTGTTTTCAAAACTACAAGGTAAACAAGGAGTCAAAATATTACGAAGTTGTTTTGCCTGCTTGAATTCATCACTTGTACCTTCTATCTTGCTTAGGTTGAAAACTACTTCCAAAAACAGGTTGTGAAGTGCACATAGAACTTCAATTTTTGACTATGTGTCGAGTTTTTCCAATGATTAGATAGCAAATCAACCATGATCTTCAATTGATTGAATCAGATTGGCATGACTAACTTACCATTAATCCAAGGAAACGATGTTGTATGCTGGAGACGAGTTTATCTCAATTCCAACTCGCTCTACACATGCAAAGCACTGCAAGTTAGATTGCAAATTTTGAAAAACTTTAATTTTTGACTATGTGTTGAACTTTGCCAAGGATTGGATTCCAAATGCATCATGATCTTCAATTGATTGAATCAGATTGGCATGACTAACTTACCATTAATCCAAGGTAACGATGTTGTATGCTGGAGACAAGTTTAACTCAATTCCAACTCGCTCTACACATGCAAAGCAATGTAAGTTAGCTTGCAAATTTTGGAATACTTTAATTTTTGACTATGTGTTAAACTTTGCCAATGACTGGATTCCAAATGCACCATGATCTTCAATTGATTGAATTAGATAGACATGACTAAGTTGTCATTTGTCCAATGTAATGATATTGTACGGTGGGGATGAGTTTAACTCAATCTCAGCTTGCTCTATACATGCAAAGCGTTGTAAGTTAGCTAGCAAATTTTGAAGAACTCCAATTTTTTACTCTACGTCAAACTTTGCCAATGATTGAATAGCAAACATACTCTGATCTTCAATTTATTGAATTAGATAGGCATGACTAAGTTACCATCTGTCCAAGGTAACGATGTTGTACGCAACTTGCTCTACACATGCAAAGCGCTGTAAGTTAGCTGCAAATATTGTAAAATTGACTTTTGATGTTTCAAACTGGTTTTTCTTCTTTGTAAACATTCCACACATTAGTTCACACGGCCGAAAAGCTCGCTTACAACTGCAACTAAAATCCATCAAGACAATGAATGCATGTCGCAAACCTAGGCTTGGCCACGGTCCAATCCGGACCCTGATTTCTCCGGATCGGTTAACCGGTACAAAAAAAATTAGACCGAAAAAAAATTTAGAAAAAAATGTAAGATTTCGTTTCATAGCTTCTCATTTTGTCTCCAGGAAAATCTGAATGACAATTTATCTAGAAGTACCTTGGTTTGATCTAACTCTCAAATTCTCAACTCGTGGTACCTTGATCCAACTTGGATCCTCGATCGGGTGCCCTGCAACGGATTCAAAGCCAACTTGGATCCTCGATCGGATGCCCTGCAACGGATTCAAAGCCAACTTGGATCCTCGATCGGATGCCCTACAACAAATTCAAAGCCAGCTATAGAGGATTCATCATCAGATCGTGGGGCATCAGTACCATCCGTGCTCGATCCTTGATCTGGTCGGGAGCCTTCGATTCTCGTTGAGCGCAGAGCCTTCTCTACAGCCCGATAGGCTGTTGTAAACACAAAACAACAATCCGAGTGAGTATGATATCGTTAAAAGTCGATATGATAAGTCGTTGATAGTATTTCAGATATCGCTGCAGTAAGTCATCAATCCTGCATCCGTAAGAAAATATTTTCTCCGCGGCATTTTAGCATAACTTACCTGTCAAGGCAACCTTTTGAACTGTACTCCTGATGGCCAAGATCTCGTTCTGGTGAGAGATAATAAACTTGTTCTGCGGGAACAGAGGGCACCATGCCGGGAAGAGTGCGACATAATTTGTATAATTTCCACTCGAAAAGACGAATATCAACGATTGAGAAGGCAAAAACTCTGTCAGTCCCTTCTTATATTCACGAGTAATTCCACTATATTACACTTAGACGAGACGGGAGCAACTGCACACGAGTTCATTTCATCATTCATTCGAGAAATTTGATCGTTAATAAATCATCATGTTTCAGAGTTCCCGTTTGAGTCTTGAATCTTGAACGTTCGACCTGTTCAGTCTTTTAGACCCGTTGAATTCGCCCGTTTAGGCTTTGAGATCTAGTATATAATGGATCGAAGGAGGGAGCAAAGTAGCAACTGCTGATTTGTGGTACTCTTTGGGATGATTCCTCAATTGCTAATTCCGTTAGTGAGAGTGAAAGTTTTCACTGGAGGTGCGTCTGCGGCATTTCCAACCTTCAAAAGCAAAGCATGCGTCCTTCAGCTTCGTCGATCACCGGCCTTTAAGGTTAGCGTCGTGCAGTTTTGCGCCAAGCGTATTAACGTCGGCTCGTGCAGATTCGAATGTCAAAGTTTGGGAGTTAATGTCGCCGGTGATTTGGATCTTCTATCCTCGTAGACCTAGAACTGGTTTTGGTTCATGTTTGATTGCTGTGAATTTATCATTTTTGGTTCAATCTATGCAGGTTCAGGCGATGATATGATCGCAAATTCTGATCTACCTGTACTCGTAGACTTCTATGCCATCTGGTATGCATTTTTCTATGGTTTTTGTGTTGAGTGAAACCGGAATTTTTCTAGGAGCACTTGCCTGACATTGAGATTTTAGGAGCTGGGAAAGAGGGTGTCTGTATGTAGAGTGTGTTGTGTAGGGTCATCTGCTTGAAGTACCATAACTAGAACGTAAATATGAATGAGTCTCGGAAGTCAGTCTTACAGTAACTCATTTTGATCTCCTTGAATGTGTTTACGATACACATCTTGTTTATCACGGAGAACAATCTGAACGGCAATCGTCAAGATTCTCACGGCTGGCTCTTTATGAGTTGATAGTTGGAATTAGAATCATAATTAGAATTCTCAACTCTTCGTTCATCTTGTATTAGCGTTTTTTTGTGAAAAGTTAACCATGTGGTCAAGATTGCACTTCGGAGTTGATGGTTCGGTCAGAATATGCATATATAAGTCACTAGCTGTCAGCCTCAAGAAATCGATCTAAAGGAAAGAATCTGCAATTTCCACAATTAAATACTTTCCGCAATTTTTTTGTGCAGGTGTGGACCATGTCAATTCATGGCTCCAATCTTGAGCTGTCAATTCATGGTCCCAATCAACAAAGTTTATGATTAATTGAATACCAAGACCTCACCCCACTGATATGACTTTCTTGTTTGCGTTTTGTTAAGATGGAGTAATTGGCGAAATGACATGTGTTGTCGTAAATTGTGGCAACATATGCCCTGATTCTGAAATTCTGATTCTG